GTGAGAATGATCTTCTGTATTCAGTCCACTGATTCATATGCTAATCTGTTGTCCATACACCCAGCAATAATATTTTACCAGCTCTCTGGACATCTTTTAACCAGTCAAGTTGATGTTTAAAATTAGTGGTTACAGGAGTGCAATATCAGGTAGTGCTAAGTGCTCTGAAGAAAAATAAAAATGGATAAGAGAGCTGGGGTGTACATGAAAAAAAGTAAGACGTCATCTAATAAAAAGTAAATTGTGATATGTTCACCCAAGGACTACCTCATGGCTCTATACAATGTAGATAAAGTTTTGAAACAGTATTTAGTAAAGGAAGCAAGAAATGGTGCCATGAGAAAACAATCAGCCAAATTCAAAATATGGAATATTCTGCAGGTCAAATGATCTAGCTTCCTAAAAAAAAAAAAAAAAATTAAAAAAAAAAAGGCCAAAAAAGGGCATGATAAGAAGAGAAGGGGGGAAAAGCAACAATCCACAAGGTGGGGTTCAATAAAACAAGATTACTAAACTGTTGAGAATTGGTGAAATTGGATGAAGGATTACAATAATATAATAGATTGCCTATTTTTAAATTATTATTTATTTATTTATTTGACAGAGATCAAGTAGGCAGAGAGGCAGGCAGAGAGAGAGAGAGGAGGAAGCAGGCTCCCCGCCGAGCAGAGAGCCCGATGCAGGACTCGATCCCAGGACCTTGAGATCATGAGTGGAAGGCAGAGGCTTAACCCACTGAGCCACCCAGGCACCCCATTTGCCTATGTTTTTATTTCTACTTTTTTTCAGTTTGAAAATTCCCATAATTCAAATTTTTAAAAATAAGAAACGTAATTTACTTAGAAACTTCTTCTGGGCTGAAATGTAAAAATGTATCAATAAGAATAAAGTAGAAGTCACAGGTTTATGTGTCATTTTAAAGACTTTTTGTTTTGACACTATTGTTGATCGGTTTACTGTTGTAAGAAATAATTCAGACAGATTCCATATCCTTCGCTGCAATGGCAATATCCTGCATAACTATCGCACAATCTCTCAATCGGCAAGTTGACCTTGATAGAATCAATGGCCCTTATTCAATTTCACCCGTTTGGTATGTATTCATTTATGCGTATATGGCATATATATTAATTTCTATGCAATTCATCAAAGCGTACATTTGTATGACCTCCACCATAGTCAGGATACAGTTCTGTCACAAGATTTCCTTTCACAGGGGCGCCTGGGTGACCCTGTCGGTTGGTTAATAGTCCGCCTTCAGCTCAAGTCATGATCCCCGGGTCCTGGGATTGAGCCCTACATCGGGCTCCCTCATCAGCAGAGAGCCTGCTTCTCCCTCTCCCTCTGCCTGCTGCTCTGCTTACTAGTGCTCTCTAGCTCTGTGCCAAATAAGTGAAACCCTTAAAAAAAAAAAAAGAAAGAAAGAAAGTTTCCTTTTTACAGCCACAGATACCACCCTTCCACCTCCTTACCATCTCCAAACTCTGGCAGCCAATAATCTGTTCTCCATCTCTATAACTTTGTCATTTCAAGATAAAATATGTAAATGGAATCATATAATATCTGTAAGCCTTTGCGATTTTTCCCCCCACCAACCGTAGTTCTTTTGAGATTCATTTGATTTATTGGGTGTATAAATAAATCTTCCTTTTCTTATTGCCAAGTAAGTATTCTATGGTATGGGTGCGCCCCAGTTTCTTTAACCATTCATCTGCCAAAGGACATTTGAGTTGTTACTAATTTTTGGCCTTTACAAATAAAGCTACCATGAACATTCATGGAAATGAAGTTTTTGTGTGAACCCATTTTTTTTTTTTTCATTTCTCTGGGATCAATGTCCGAGAGTGCAATTACTGGGTGTAAGAAACTGCTATACTTTTTTCCACAGTGGCTGTTCCATTTTACATCCTCATCAGCAGTGTATGAATATATGAGTGTGTGAGTTGTAACTGTTTAACTAATAGTTTTTCAGAATAACTGAAGGAAGAATGATGGCTTTTTGGTCATTAATTCCTGGAGATTAACTGACCTCTTTCGGATGAAAATGTTTCAGCCCAAATGACCCTTTGGTTTGGGGAGATTTCTATAGGAGAAACTCACTGCAAAGAAATAAGGTCAAGGAAGTCCTAAAAGTGTTTTAAAACAAGGCTAAAAATTTATCCTAAGGACCTCTGAAAGCAAGAGGAAAAAAAAAAAAAAAAAGAACACCTATTGAGCAGATATACCAGTCATTTCTCCTTCGTTATCTCATTTATTCCTCTTGATGACCCTGTAATAAGGGTTATATGTCCCATTTTAGAAATAATGTAATCAAGGGGCACCTGGGTGGCTCAGTGGGTTAAGCTCATGACTTTGGCTCAGGTCATGATCTCGGGGTCCTGAGACTGAGTCCCACATCAGGCTCCCTGTTCAGTGAAGAGTCGAATTCTCCCTCTCCATCTGCCCTTTCCCCTGGTGGTGCGCTTGCGCTGTCTCAAATAAATAAAATCTTTTTTTTTAAGAAATAATGTAATTGAGGTCTCAAATTACTTTTCAAACAGTCACAGTTAGCAAACTGGCAAATCGAGACTAAAAAGCTCAGCTTCTAGCTACCTTTAACTCAGTGCAAGAAACATAGGAGGCAATCAACACATTTGTTGAAACGAATGAATGAATAGATGAATGTCAGCTCTGTTGTTTATTTTTTTTTAAGATTTTATTTGACACAGAGAGAGAGATCACAGGTAGGCAGAGAGGCAGGCAGAGAGAGAAGGGGAAGCAGGCTCCCCGCTGAGCAGAGAGCCCGATGTGGGGCTCAATCCCGGGACCCTGAGAACATGACCTGAGCCAAAGGCAGAGGCTTAACCCACTGAGCTACCCAGGCGCCCCAGCTCTGCTGTTAATGTATCCCTTGGCAAGACTATTAATTTCTCTGAGTCTGTGTCTTCATTTGTTAAAGGAAGACAATAATAACACCTCCTTCACAGAGTTGTGAACAAATAAGGTGATACAATAGGGGAAAAAAAAACAATTTGGAAAATGTAAAATGTTGAAAGGCATAAAATTCAGTCAGTGTCATAACCAAATACTGACAAAATACAGGCAGGAGACTTGGCTAGGAAGGTGTAGTGCCAGTAATGTACTCTGTCCCAGGAATCACTTAATTGCTGTTTCCCTATGTTCCTCATCTGTGAAATCACAACTGAGATTAAGGTTGAGCACCTTAATGACACAGACCCTAAGATTCTTACCTAGTAATGAGGCAGGATCAAGCAAGCCTCTACATAAGAAATTAATTTGAAAATGTTGCACCTGGTTGGGTCAGTTAGTTAAGCATCTGACTAGATTTCCGCCTGGGTCCTGATCTCAGGGTTGTGAGATCTAGTCCCTTGTCAGGCTCTGCTCTAATTGTGCGGGCTGCTTGGGATTCTCTCTTTCCCTCTGCCTCTATCCCACCACCCCAGCTCTCTATCTTTCTTTCTCTCTCTCAAAAAGAAAGGTTTGTTATACTTCCCTGGATGATAAAAAGTATTATGCTGATTATAATTATCCATGACATTTTGGCCTTTATTAGGTTATTTAGACCTATACCAATGCATCAAAATTATTACACAGATAATTTGTATATTGATGTGTACATGTATATATGAAAACAGTATTGGTAATAGTTAATAACATGAGACTATATATATAACTTAAAAACACACACACACGGGTCTCTAAGAAAAATCCACACTGGATTATTTCTATCCACAGTGGATAGAAAATGCGGAAGAATGGGCAAGAAATTGATATACTGTGTCTATGTAGGGGATAAAGATGGCTAGGGAGAAGGGCACAGAAACTTCACATTTGTAACCCTTTGTACTTTCCTTTTGAATTCTGGACCACATATTTCTGCATTACTATTAAAAAAAAGACTTAAAATTTTTCTAAAAATCTTGTATAAAAACAGAACATTAACATAGAATAACCCAGGACTTTTTAAAGCTTTGCCCTTAAATTAATAATTTAAATTACGAAAATATGAAACCACTTCCGTTTCAGTATGATTTTATGTTTTTTAATGGAATTTTTGCTTCCTGGGCATGTTTAACTCTTCTGAATAAAGCAATCTTTTCTTTTAGTACTTTTTTATAAGACTGATATGCTGAGTGTAGATAAAATTGAATAAAATGAGTTATTTCCTAAGAATAATATTAAATGTGTGTGAGGCACCTGTTTTAACTATGAGGTCAGAGACAAATGAGATAGAAAGTGTATGTAGATGAAGACGTTAGGTCTTGCACTGCTAAGGGCCACCATTAGATGCCTAGCGCCTTTATTAGGTCATTTAGTGTTGAGGCATTGTGGCTCCTGTGCATTTTGGTGGTCTTCCAAAGCGTGGATACCGGGTAGGGTTTGGCTTTAACATCTTCTTCCTCTGCTGCCATCACCAGTCAGGATCGTAATAGGATTTTCGCAAGCCTCTAAACACTGAAAAGATGATGGTGATTCTCTTCCCTGTGTAATTAAAAATGAAAATATATTTAGAAAATAAAGTTTAAATCTTCCCACTAGATTTTCTTAAATAAAAATTCCTAATAAATTCATCAAAGTTGAACTTTTTTTCTGCTTTTCCTTCCTTTAGACTTGGCTCCAGAATCCAGCACTTTCAAGCTGTTAAACCAACCCACGCGGCTTCCCGCAGGTGCCAGCCCCACCCCAACAGGGATCTCCTCCTTCACTCCTCCCACCTGCCCCTTCGCCCCGCCCATTGGGCGCGTCGTCGTTACGGCAGCGCGCTGTCGCCGAAGCCCGGCAGCAAATGAGCGCAGGCGGCGGCGGCCCTCCGTCGTACCCTCGCAGGCGCATGCGCGCTCGTGCCGGGCGCTCCTGAAGACCTGGCGGAGCCCGGCGCGGATGGAGGCCTGAGGGCGGCGGGGGCGGAGCGCACCGCGAGCTGGGGGCATGTCCGCGGCGGGCGCCGTCTAGAGGAAGGCCGAGCAGCCGCCACCACGCTCTCAGTCGCGGCTAGACGCAAGCGAGCCAGGCCTAGGGCCGCGGCGGCGATGCAGCGACGGCGGCGCCCTCCGCCGCCAGCTTCTCAGCTGCCCGAGGGCTGCGGGGGAGGCGGCGGCGGCCGCAGCGGGAGCGAGGAGGTGGAAGTGCAGTTCTCCGCCGGGCGTTTGGCCTCGGCCGCGGCGGTTTCGGCGGCGGCGGCGGCGGCCGCGCGCAGCACGGAGGAGGAGGAGGAGCGGCTGGAGCGCGAGCACTTCTGGAAGATCATTAATGCCTTCCGCTACTACGGGTAAGAAGCCCGTGGCGGACCCCGGCGCAGCCCATCGAGGTGCCCGCCGGTCGCGGCGGACCTGCCGGAACGGGGGCGCCCGCCGCGCTCGCCCTCGGCCGCCACGCCTCCGGGGCGCCGGGACCGGGCCGCCAGATCTCACCTCGGGGCCCCTGAGTCACCTCGTACCACCTTAGCCCCTCCCGGCCCTGCACAGCCGCGTGTCTGCCGCGCCGTCTGCTGCCCAGCCTCGTGTCTTCCAACCTCGGGATCAGATTAGCTCTCTTGCCTTCCATCCCTCGTTAAAGGTTTGGCTTTCAGGCCGGCGGGGGTGACCGGAAAAGTGCTGTTAACAATTGCAGATAGAAGATGATGGTGGTAAAATCGGCCGGTGCTGGGCATGATCTTGATGTGTTGTCGATGTTCTCCAAACTGAACACACGGGAGAACCCAAGTTCACCTACACGTGGGATGCCGTAGGACGAATTTTCCCAAACTGTTGCCAGTTCTTGTGAGAGCTGCATAAGATTTTCACCCCAACCCCCTTGGCGCTTTGAACGTGCAGGCACATTAGTGGTGAATGATGGCGCTCAGTGTCTTTAACTGGTGGGTGAAATTAAGGTCGAAGGTGGTCCGGATGTTCTAAAATTTGCTAATTATTGAAGAGGGAAATGAGAGAAGGCACAGTAAAGAACCGCTTTTATGATCTTTTATTCTGCAAACATGTATCGAATTCTCACTATGGGCTGGGCACTGTGGTAGGACTTTTAAACTCCCTAACTTCACTTTTCTTCTTTCTGGATAGATGTTAAAATAGCGTAGTCACAACATTATAATTCCAGGATCTGAAAGGGACTTAGATTTTCAGGTAAATAGAGCACTTTTATTCCTGTTAAGAGTTGAGCCCACCGACGACTATGTTCTGAGTCTGCAGTTGGAATGAGATAGGACCCGCACAAGTAAAACTGTTCCCTTAGATGGGCTCCTGTTGTGATTTATGCAAACTAGCTTTTTTTTTTTTTTTTAAATGACTGTGACCTCTTCAAGGGCAGGGACTGAGCCTTATTTATTTTTGTGTCACCAGTGCTTGGCATATGTTGTTGAAGCTCTATTTTTAACAAATAAGACAAGTAGTAGCAAAGAAATACATTTGTCCTTCCCAGATAGCTTGCGAATTTGTGACAAATCGGTTGTTTGTTACTATTTTGAATTCAGAAACTTGCTTAATTAAAGCCTAAAGTGATTTAGAATCTCATTGCATTTTTGTAACATGAGTTTTTTGAAGTACAGAGATCTTGAAATAATTTACTGGCTAAACCCAGGCATAGGAACTAGACTACATTACCTGTGGAGCCCAAAAGGGAATTAACTAATGTGGGGATTTTATTTGGTATCAACAGAGGCAGGAAGGCAGGCAACCACAGAATTGAATTTGATGCAAGTATTGTGTCTTAAGACTCACACAGGGAGGAGAAACAACTAACACTAGATTTAAATAGCTGGGAGAGGTAGATACAGAAAAGTCTGGTACATTTTGCTTTTGAAAAATATAGAAAAGGGTACTGGACTATGTTTGGGAAAGATAGTGGACCCAGATAGTTAAAATGTGTTTCTGTGCTGGCTCTAATATATTAAGACTAATCTAAAATTGATAGTTAAGGTTAGGTATCAAATGGGCCCTTGTGTGGACCAATAGGGACCTTTGACCTGGAAGTAGGGCTCAAGTGTGGCAGTGTAGAGAAGAGTGCTTGTGTGCATATTCTAATGGTTGTGGTATAATTTTCTATACTCTAATCCCTCTTTAGCAGTTTGATATGGGATTGCGGATAATTTCATTTTTTAAAAACAATCCTTCTTATTTGTGTGTATTCTTTATGGAACACTTCCAATAGGGGCACCTGGGTGGTCCTGGAATCGAGAGCCGCATATCGGGCTCTCTGCTTATTAGGGAGTCGTCTTCTCCCCCTCTTTTTGCCTGCCTCTCTGCCTACTTGTGATCTCTCTCTCTCTCTGTCAAATAAATTTTAAAAATCTTTTAAAAAATTATTAAAAAAAAAACACTTCCAGTAGACTGAAGATGGTATTAAAAATATGCTTTAAAAAACATCACTGGAAGGGCTAGGGATATGGAAAGCATTTTGTAGCAGAAAACAAACTTGGTTGTTCCATTGCAACATTTTCTGATCTAGACCTGTCCTGTTCAATACTGTAGTCACTAATCACATCTGGCTAAATTTAAGCTTAAGTTAATCAAAATTTAATAAAATTTAAAATTCATTTCCTCAGTCTTACTAGCCACATTTCAAGTGCTCGTAGCCACATGTGGCTGGTGTCAGCTATATTGGACAGGGCAGATGTAAGCCTTTTCATCACTGCAGTAAGTTCTGATGGACAATCCTATTCTAAACCTTTAGCAAGTACTTCTAAATTTTGGAGAGCTTAGTTTCACTGCTAAATGCCTTTTACTCATTATATAGGGGATTTAGCTTAAAGGTCACAGGGCAAGAGATGTCTTAATATTTTTCCAATGGCTTCTAATTTTGTGTTGCCTACGGGTTTTGCTTAGATAACATATTTTGATTAAGGCAAAAATGATTGTAGCATTGTAGCGAATAGTAAAAAAAAAAAAAAAAGTTGTCATCCCTAAGATACCAGTCTTGTTATGAATGAAGATACTCACATTAGAAGATACTACAGTTGAAAATTAAAGATCTTGTCAGAAACAGCCTACTTTTAGAAATAGCAGTTAGGTAAGATTTTAAAAATTGAGATGTAGAGTTCTTTTGTGCAGGTGCAGGAACAGGCATATAGAAAGGTGAACAGCTTGCCCAGGCTTATACAACCGAATTGTGGTAGAGTCTGGCCTGAAATCCAAGATGGTTCACTGCATTAGTAAGCAGCAATACTAGTAAGACAATTTTAACTTAATATTTTAATAAATTTTGAAGTGGATTGGGTCAGATTTTCCTTCTGAAAAGATACACTTTCCTGTTAAGAATGCTAGAGTAGTTCAACAGGTGCAAAGAAATGGGTCTATGACCTTGGTTCTTGGCTCAGACCCAGTACCAGACCCACCCTGATGAAAGGAGACAGAGTTGGGGGTCACTGCCAAGACCAGCCTTCTGGAGAGAGTTGAAGGTAGAGATACCCTTGAAATATAGCTGGCCACTCTATTTTCTACTCTTAATCACCGGAGGATATGGCCTCTTGCTGCTGACTGAGTTCAGAACCAAAGAGAGTCTGAAGGTCGTAAAACATTCCTTTAAAGCAGCATTGGGAAATTCTTTAAAGGGCCAAGCAATGAATATCTTAAGGTCAGAGGGCTAGGTGGTCTCTGTTATTAAGTATTCAACTCTGCCCCTGTGTGAAAGCAACCATAGGCAGTATGTGAACAAACGGAGGTGGCTACGTTCCAGTAAAAGTCTTTACAAAATGGACCTAGTAGCCAGGGGGACATAGTGTACCCACCCCTGCCTTAAATTACATAGGTAGTGTAAGCATTTCCAGAATAGTGAAGTTAGCCGCATTTAAAATAGTATAAAGAGTGGACTCTTGTGTCAGCTTCAGTAAGACCTCACTTGTTTCAGGAGACTCACTGTGGATGTATGTTATGGACAGTTTTGTGGACCATTAAAAATCAAGGGTTAAGAGGGGCGCCTGGGTGGCTTAGTGGGTTAAAGCCTCTGCCTTCGGCTCAGGTCATGATCCCAGGGTCCTGGGATCGAGCCCCGCATTGAGCCCTGCATCGGGCTCTCTGCTCAGTGGGGAGCCTGCTTCCTCCTCTCTCTCTGCCTGCCTCTCTGCCTACTTGTGATCTCTGTCTGTCAAATAAATAAAATAAAATCTTTAAAAAAAAAATCAAGGGTTAGGAGATATGCTGCAACTCGCCCTGTTCTGTGTAGTTACCTCACTTCTGTATCAGTAATTGACAGCAGATATGTGTGGGCTCTATGGACCATTCCATAACTTACCTCAGCTACCCGGCAATCGTGGAAGTTAAGTAGTCCTCATGGAGAATGAAAAATGGCACCAAGGGGGTATATAACTGAGTTTTTATTGATTATTTGCATAGGCTGAAATCTGGAGATTCAGTTGGGACAAACACAAGATTTGTATTTTAGATGAATTCGTTGGGTATTCGTGGTAGACTTTGGGGACAGCATTCCTAGGGAGCAGGCCTCTTGGGAATCTTTGAGAGACCTAATGAGGGCCTGAGAGAGGTAGTGATTTGCAGAGAGTTTATGAAGTAGAATCAAAAGGATCTGGAGCTTGTGGTTGTGGGGTCTGTGAGAAGAGGCATTTTAGGATGACTCATTCGTTTCTGACTTGAGTGGATGTATGGTATACCATTCATCAATGTCAGCCATACAGGAAGAAGTGCAGGGGTTTTATTGGGGTGGGAGGTGATCATGTGCTAAGTTCAGTTTCGATATGTTGAATTTTGAGATATGCTGAGAGGAAGGTTATGGGGCATCCAGTGCCCAAGAATACTAGAAATGAAGTACTGTGAGACTATTTAACCAGTGGGCTCTGAGTTGTAACCCTTCATGACTCTGCTGTTTGCCTCACACATAATGGTCACCTTAAATACTTCCTTTAGTGTCCTACTCTATTTTATAGGAATGTAAATTGATATGATCCTTCTGAAAATCAGTTTGTATCAAGAACCTTAAAAATACTTACCTTTTTTTCTTAAAAAAAAAAAAAAGATTCATTTATTTTATTGTGAGCGAGGGATGGGTGGGGTAGGGGAGGTGTGGGGGTGTGGAGGATCAGGGGAAGAGGGAAAGGGAGAGAAGCAGACTCCCCACTGAGCTCGGAGCCCACTCCGGGACTCCATCCCACAGCCCATGAAATCATGACCTGAACTGAAACGAAGAGTCAGACGCTTAACTGACTGTGCCACCCAAGCACCTCAATACTTGTCCTTTCTAAGTTGGTATTTCTTCCTTGGGGAATTGGTACTGTTTTTGTCTTTCTAAAATATAGACAGATTTGGAACACAGAAAAGTTCATCATATAGACAAGTGAAAGTATCTAGATGCCTAGGGAGAAGTACTAAGTAAATTTTGGTTGCATAGATGGGATAATGAACAGTCATTACAGTCATTTGCCCTGTAGTCATTAGAGAAGTTTTTTCTGATCTGGGAAAATTCTTTGATAAAGATGAAGAATTACAGGTGCTTCTAAAAAGTTGATGTGCATGTGAACCCTTTGGAGAGCTTGTGAAACGGCAGATCGCATTTCAGAGGTGTTAGGTGGGGCCTGAGCTGCTTCGATTCTAGTTATCTCCAAGTGAAGTGCTGTTCTCTGTATCACATTTTGACTAGAGAGGCACTTAAATGGCTTTAACAACAGCAAGGAGAAATAATGCCAAAAAGTTAGAATTGATTCTTTTTAAAGAGGGATTATCAGTAGCTTTTTTTCCTCGAGTACTTTTAATTCTCTACATTTTTTGTATTTTCATTGTGAACGTATTAGTTACAAAACTGAGGTGTACCTACCATGTTTGAGCTGTGTTTTATTTAGGCCCTGGGCTAAGTGATTTGTGTGCATTATTTTGTTACATTTTCAGTGAAATGCCATTGGATTGGCAGAAGAATGTAATAGTATGTAACCTTGTGGGGTTTTATGGCTATTTTCCAGAGTAATCCATTTTCAGTGACTTAGTGGTGGGCCTGGCTTTTATTAAATCTCAGGAAATGTTAGCTTCTCTAGTCATCGTCAGTGTTGTTGTTATGTATTACCTTGTTCTTTATGTGAGACAGTTGGGACACAGAGAAAGGAAGTAACTTGCCAAGGGTCACATAGCAATAGGTGGCATAACCTGGATTTCAATCCAGTTTGACTCCACAGCTCACTATTACACTGTCTCTTTGGGGGACAAAAGCAAACATCAACGTAGCCACTGGCAACTTAATCTTTTCCCATTACCCTGCCATTCCCTCCTCGCCCCTGACCACCACAACCACCACACACAAGCTTCTAAAGACCTGGTCAGGTTATTGCTTCACTCAAGAGCTTCTTCAGAGCGTCTTAATTATTATCCAGAAATTAGAGAGTAATTTGGCATAAAAACGAGACAGTTACTTGGGTGAATAGAAAGATTCGGACAACCAAATGAAAAAGTGTTTTTCATTTTCATTTAGTATGGAGTAAATGCCAAAGAACATTGAGAAGAAACTCAAACACTTAACTTATTTGTTTGTATGTATAAAATGCAAAGAATGATGCAGTGAATACCCATGCACCTAACACCTGGTATGCAAAAAAATCCTTTCCCCTGAAAGAACATCACTTTCTTTAATTTTCATTTCCTTGATTTCTTTGTAGTTATTTTTTATGTATGTTCAGTCCCTGTAATATTATTTTAATATATGATAGAATTGTACATTGTGTGTTTTTCTGCAACTTGCTTTTTTCAACAGATATTTACATTCATGAGTTTTCTCCATATTGTGTATAGTTGTAGTTGATTAATTTAATAGCATTCCGTTGTACTGCACTTCATTCATTTTACTGGTGATGAACCACTAGGTTGTTTGCAGATTTCTTGTTTGTTATATATAACCGTGCTAGTAAGAAGATAGTTAATGTTTCATGGTGCCCATTTGTAAGAGTTTCTTGAGTATATGTCTAGGACTGTAATTGCTAGGGAATGTGCATACTAAGCTGTACTTGGGTAATGCTAAATTATGTTCCAAAGTGGTTGTACTAATTTATGCACCTCTCATCAATCAGTATGTATATATATTCAAGTTACTCAGTATTTTTGGAATATTTCCTATAGTCAAGCTTTTAGATTTTGCCCATGTGATTGATATAAAATGGCAGTCATTACAAATGTAATAATCAGCTTTTTAAAATGGTGGGGTTTGGGACGCCTGGGTCGCTCAGTTGGTTAAGCGGCTGCTTTTGGCTCAGGTCATGATCCCAGTGTCCTGGGATCGAGTCCCTCATCTGGGCTCGTTGCTCAGCAGGGAGCCTGCTTCTCCCTTTGCCTCTGCTGCCCCTCTGCCTGCTTGTGCACTCTCTCGCTCGCGCTCTCTCTCTCTGACAAATAAATAAAATCTTTAAAAAATAATAAAATGGTGGGGTTTTTTGTTTGTTTTCAGGTTTGGTTTTTTTTTTTAAGATTTTTTAATTTATTTATTTGACAGACAGAGATCACAAGTAGGCAGAGAGGCAGGCAGAGAGAGAGGAAGGGAAGCAGGCTCCCTGCTGAGCAGAGAGCCTGATGCAATGTGGGGATGTCAATGTGGGGATGCGGGGCTCTGATCCCAGGGTCCTGGGATCATGACCTGAGCCGAAGGCAGAGGCTTTAACCCACTGAGCCACCCAGGTGCCCCTGTTTTCAGGTTTTGTAAATTGGTCATCTCCAAAGTGACCTTTAGAGTTATTTGGAAACTTCTGGAATGCAAATCGTGAATACTATCATGTAAAATGCTATAGAACTTCAGTTTTTCCTCTGTTTACTACTTTTGTAGTACATAAGATCCTTTGTGTTTTTAGAAAAAATTCTTCTTGGTTGGTTCTTAATTTCAAAACACATTTTGTATATTCTAAAGTAATTTCAGAGCAGTGTTCTGTTTGATGGTATTCATCTATTTTGCTGAAAATTTTAAGTTTGGAAATGAAAATCATAAAAATAAACTAATTGTACATTAATCCTCTTTATGTTTTCTTTTTCCCTTCTAAATGGTGCAAATGTTTACTTTCTTATAAACTGTCTTTTGTTTGGTTGCTTAGAGAATTTGTAATAAGGTAAAAACTTAAAACTTCCTAAGTTGATATCGTTTAAGAAACCAAAAGATTGTAAATCACAGGACAGTATCCCGACATTATAAAGGGATAATTGTACAGAAAGACAACCTTAAAATAAGATTGGCCCTGGTGAGAATTCTTTTGCCAATTTAAAAAACACCTTTTATGTTTTAGCACCAGTATGCATGAGCGAGTGAACCGAACAGAAAGACAATTTCGATCACTTCCAGATAATCAACAGAAACTACTTCCTCAGTTTCTTCTTCACTTGGACAAGATTCGGAAATGCATTGATCATAATCAAGACATACTACTGACCATTGTGAATGATTGCATACATATGTTTGAAAATAAAGAATATGGAGAAGATGTATGTGAAAGTTTGTTCTATTTTTATTTTAGGGTTTAATCTCTGCATTTTGAGGTCTTTATCTTTCTGGATTTCATTTTTATATTTTGCATGGGCCATTTGCTCTACTCAGAGAATATTTTCACTTACATGTTCAAGTATTTGATTAGACTTTTTAGAATAGTATGCCAGAAACTGATTTGTTCGCAGATTTTTTTTTTCCCTAAAGTAGTAAGGTAATTGTTCGCATATTGCTGTATGATTCACATTGTGTTCTAACTGTTCTAGCATATAGAGTTAGTGACTTTAACTTTTATAACCAACTTTTTAGCTGTGTAAAATTAATTTCCCTTGCTTAAAATCATTTTCAGTATCTTGTATCGATACTTTTACTTTAAGAAGTTATTTTCACTTATAAATCTCAAGGGACTGGCAGTAATAGAGACTGAAGTCCTTTTTTTGTATCCACAGGATGGATACAGTTGGGCCACTCCTGTGTGAGCCTCTCCATGCTGCCCCGTCAATGACCTGGAGGGACTTTCTTCCCTCTCTTAGAGAGAGAAGATGTTCCATCTCCATAGCAGCTCAGTTCTGGTCCTCTCCTGAGTAAAGACTGCTTAATTATATGGTGGTTTCATGATTATGGACCTTAAATCTATTGAGGGTAGAAGTGAGACCACCAAACTCTTTTCATGTAGGATCTCAAGCTGCACTTGAACCCTGGTTGAGGTGAGAGGCTAGTGATTTATCCACTAAACCATCCATATAGCCCTGTAGTAGCATGTCTGTTTGATCATATTCAAGACTGATTCCTTGGTCAGAAGCTAATTGATTTCTGTTTTTTTAAACAGGGGAATGGAAAGATTATGCCAGCATCTACATTTGACATGGATAAATTAAAATCTACACTGAAACAGTTTGTGAGAGACTGGAGTGAAACTGGGAAAGCAGAGAGGGAAGCCTGCTACCAACCAATCATTAAAGAAATTTTAAAAAATTTTCCGAAAGAAAGATGGTAAATAGTATCTTATTTTTAACCAGTTTCTTTAAGATATGTAAGCACTCAGTTTCTCTGTAAGAAATTCCACAGTCCTGATTCATGTTTGTAGTTGCTGCATGCCTGTATTTTTCCACATAAGGCTGTGTGGTGGTGTCTATGTTCGTAGATGCTTTGTGTGAGGTTGTAGTCAATATTTTGAATACTCAGTTTAGCACTGAAGGGAAATCACTCCATCTGGAAATTAATAAGGTTAGATTGAGTGTTCATTATCAATGATTTTTTTTTTATAATTTGCTAATGGCAATGCAAGAAGCTGCACACTTTGCATTTTCCTCGTTATGACAGACTTGTAAGTGGATAAGGGATCTGTAGCTTAGAGCAGAGATTCGTTTTTTGTGCCATGAAAAGCCTCAGCAGTCCACTTTTTGGAATAGCATTTATAAACGAATCAAATAAAATGCATAAGATTGCAAAGAAACCAATTTTGAAGATTAGTTATCAAAATATTAAAAAGCACATTTGTGCTGGAACGTGCTTTGTATCCTGTATCGCATTAAATCAAATCTAGCAGCAGGTGTAATTACTGTATCTTTGAAAATACCACAGTTTGTGTTATTTTGAGAATCTCAACAACTTCAAAATGACTTCAAGACAAGTTGCATTTTATAGTGCTCATATACTCTACCTAATCACCAATTCTTAACGTTTTACATTTTATTATTTCTTCTTCCTACTTCCCTCCCTCCTTCCCCTGTTTGATGATTATGTCTAAAACCACATATATGCACAATTACTACTTAAGCCATTTGAAAGATCAGTTTGTATATATCATTTTTTTTTAACCTTTTAATACTTCAGAATTCATTTCTTAAGAGCAAGGATATTTTCTTACATAAAAACAGTGTATTTATCAGATTGAGAAAATTTAACTGAGAATACTGTTTTCTGATCTACAGTCTGTATTCAAGTTTTATAAAATTATCCTGAAAATGTTCTTTATAACACTCTTCTGTCCGGTCTAGAATCCAGCCCTGGATATTATATTACATTTCATTATAACATCTTAGTCTTTAATCTGGAACAGTTCGTTAGCCTTTCTTTGACCATGACATTGGCGTTTTTGAAGAAGATAAGGAAGTCATTTTATGGAATATTCGTCAGTTTGAGATTATTGATGTTTCTTTCTTTCTTTCTTTCTTTAAGATTTTATTTATTTATTTGACAGAGAGAGAGAGATCACAAGTGGCAAAGAGGCAGAGAGAGAGAGAGAGGGGGGGAAGCAGGGCCCCACTGAGCAGAGAGCCCAATGTGGGGCTCGATCCCAGGACCCTGAGATCATGACCCGAGCCGAAGGCAGAGGCTCAGCCGACTGAGCCATGCAGGTGCCCCTATCTGATGTTTCTTTATGATTGGATCTGGATTATATGCCTCTTTTCAAAATAATACATAATTGATATGTAATTGATCGTTCTTCTCAGGATATCCCATTGAAAGTCATACAGTGTCTGCCTTAGAGTTGTCAGCCATTGATGATTCTTGCATGAACTGGTCTGTCCTGTGCTGATTATGGAATGGTGCTTTTCTAAATTTATAATCATCAGTCAGCATTCTACTGTATCTGTAAACTATTACCTGAAAAGACAAATGGTTCCTATTTTATTCAGTGGGTTATGATCCGTTACTATTGGTTTTTTATTGTCATTGCTGCCTCAGATTTAGCAAGTGTGGGAATCCCTTCAAGTTGGCCCCTGTGTCCTTTCATGTGGCCCAATTCTTTTTGAGCGCTTCCTTATTTTCTGGCACAGTAAGGTATTTCAGTCCCATCATGTACCTTCCCTACTTTAGTTCTGGAATTGGATATTTTTCCAAGGACCTGTTTCCTTTAATGTGGAATTGTTTGTAGAAACCAAGATCTGGCACTAGGCATGTTCGTTGTTACTAAGGTGTCACAGCTTTTGAGCCTTTCGGTAGGTAGAGAACACACACATAGACACATACTAGAAAGCATTCATTCATACTTATTCCTTCAGTTCCAGTCCAACCCCAAAGGTTTCCTTCTTGGCTTCCCCTGTTCTTTATATCTGTCTGCCTTTTCCTACAGTGAGAGCCTGGCTTCTGACAACATCAGTACATTTACTCATTCACTCAGTCCTGTAGTACTCACATAATGGTTTCAGAATTGCTGCCTCCATACTACTATGAGAAACAAACTGCCGGCAGGTGTTTAGGATTTGCTAGCAATTATTTTTTCCCCTAAGTGAAGAGTATTCGCAAAAATATTCTTCACAAGTTACTGACATAAGCTTTGCTTCAACCCCCTATCCTCAGTGTGGTTGTGTTTTTTATTTGAAATTCAGTATATCGAGGTTTATTTTTCTGTTTGCTTTCCATTTTTAGGGTTCTGTCTTGCCCCCACTCCCCATGCTTGTTCATTTAAATTTACCTTTTGATTTGTGTGCTCTCAGTTATCAACTTGTGATATCCAGAAAAAATGGTATTCCCTTCCCTGTTCCTTTAGTAGCCATCTCAACACCGTATTCTCAGTCCCACATCCCGTGTAGGTAATCAGTATCATTAATTTCTTGTTTATCCTTCTTGTTTTTATTTTTTCTTTTTTTTAAGATATTTAAAAAATTTATTTATTTGACGGGTAGAGATCACAAGTAGGCAGAGAGGCAGGCAGAGTGAGAGAGGAGGAAGCAGGCTCCATGCTGAGCAGAGAGCCCAATGCGGGGCTCGATCCCAGGATCGTGGGCTCATGACCCGAGCCTAACCCACTGAGCCACCCAGGCACCCCTATTTTTTGTTTCTTATGTAAGCGGATACAGGTGTTTTCTTCTTAATTACCTCCTTTTGTTTCATGCACAAAATGCAGTAGCATTCTGTGTATTTTATGTTGCACTCTGCTTTTTTCACTTAGCAATGTGTCTTAGAAATCGCTACATAGCAGTGCATGGAGATGCTCCTCAGCCTTTTTTACAGCTGTGAAGTACTTCAACCAATCTCCTGTATGTGGTTATTTAAGTAGTTGGCAGTATCTTATATATTAATTATGTTATAAATTATGTTACAGTTAATAACCATATGCATGGGTATTTTTGTACTGTTGGAAGTGTATCTATAGTATAAATTCTTAGACATGGGATTGCTGAGTCTGAAAGGTAAATGCATAAGTAGTGTGGTGTGTTAGTCACCTATTGTGTGCAACAGATTACCACAAACTTAACTGCTTAAAACAGCATACATTTATTATTTCACAGTTTCTTTGGTCAGAAGTCTGGGCATAGCGTAATTGCATCCTCTGCATAGGATTTTACAGGGTTGCAATCCAGATGTCTCCTGGGCTGTGTTCTCATCTGGAGGCTTGACTGTGGAAATACCTGTCTCCAAGCTCACTCATGTTGTTGGCAGACTTGACTTCAGTGTGTGTGTGTGGGACTGAGGGCTCTGGCTTTGTTTTAACGGCCTTGGAAACCTGCCTCAGCTCCTAGAGGCCAGGTGCCATTCCTCGTCTTGTGAGCTTTCCCAGAATGGTCACTTCATCAAGCAGGCAAGGAGAGTCTTAGAGCAAGCAGGCTTTCAGGGGAGTCTTCTATAATGTGGAGTCATCGCAGGGGTGGCTGTTGGTTAGAAGCAAGTCATAGCTCCCCGTGCACACTAAAGGGAGGGGATTATAAAAAGGCGTGGACACCGGTAGGTGGGGGCCGCTTTCGGGCCTGTGCCAGTTATTGCCGCATATGCCTGTAGGGGTTGTACTGTTTTCGCCTTCTTGCCGGCTATTTATGAAAGTGCCTGTTTACTCATAGCTTTGCCAGATACCGTACTACCTAGCTTTTGAACTTTTGCCAACCTAATGGGTGGAGAAACGTATCTTGGCCTACTTCTCATTTGCACTTCTTATTATGAATGAAATTGAGTATCTTCATATGTTTAAGGGCCATTTTATACTGGGTTTTGAGAACTACATACATATTCATGTTTTCCCCCTCATTTAAAAATGTTGAGGTGCGGGGTGCCTGGGTCGTTCAGTCATCTGCCTTCAGCTCAGGTCATGATCCAGGGTCCTGGGAGTGAATCCCACATGGGGCTCCCTGCTTGTCAGGGAGTCTGCTTCTCCCTCTCCCTGCCACTCCCCCTGCTTGTACAAGCTCACTTGCGCGCACGCACTCTCTCTCTCTCTCACTCTCTGACAAATAAATAAAATCTTTAAAAAAATACATAAATAAAGTTGAGGTAAAATGCATAGAGCAAAAGTGAGGGTTTTAAAGTAAACAATTTGATGGTATTTAGTAGATGCATAGTATTGTGTATCCATCGTCTCTACAGAGTTTGAAAACATTTGCATGAACCCAGAATAAATCCCATACTCATTAGGTAGTTATCTTCCATTCTCCTTACCCCACCCCCGACCTCTGTCAGCAGTTTAACTATGAGGTGCCTAGATGTGTTTTTCTTTGAGTTTATCCTACTTGATGTTTGTTTTACTTTGGAAGGTTTGGGTAGGTAAGTATCACCAAATCAAAGATTGTTTGCTCTTATTTTTTTTTTCTTCTGGGACTTGAGCTGCTTGTACATGAAACTGCTTGACCATGTCTCTCAGGTGTCAGATGACTCTTTTCTCATTAACTCTTTATATTTTAGTTTGGATAATTTCTATTGACCTTACTTGAATTTTACTGATTGTTTATTATCCCAGTCTATTGATAAACTCATTGAAAGACTTAACTCTGCTGCCAAATTAAAAAAAAAAATGTCTAGGGCTTCCATATATACATACATTTCTGTGTGTGTTCTCTCTGTGCTCACATTTCCTATTTGTGCGTGTGATCGACCTTTTCTCCTTGATGCTTTAATGTATTTTTTATGGTTAGTTTCAAATCCCTGTCTGATAATTCCAACCTATGTGCTTTTTGTGGGTCAGTTCTGATGATGGTTTCCTTTCATATCAGTGGGTTACATTTTTGTTCTGGTTGGCATGTCTCATTTTTTGTTGAATGCCAGATGATGTATGTAAA